ACCAGAAGCACATTCCACGCATACCTTTCTCCAGATTGTATCCCAGGTTGCTAGAGCCAGCTGGAGAGGCATGTTTGCTACAGCCCGTGAAAGTGCTCCATTGGAGAATGTAATTTATGACACATCCTGGGAGGAGGGGGAAAACAGGGTCATAGGTGGGCAGTAAATTACGTGGGGCAGAGGCGACTGCACTTGGGAAAATGCCAACATGTTGCTCCTAATAAATAATTGGATTTCTTTTGAAACTTGGCTCAAGGCTCATGAATTAATTAGGGCATCCATTGGAACCCTGACAGTGTCTTGTGCAACAACAAGCTGTTTTCAAAAGATTCATGAACATTCCACACCTTAACATATTTGATCCCAAACTATGAATTAGATTCCTTAGAGTGCATCAAAAAACAGAATTCATTAAGCAACAGAAGGATTTCATCAGCCAGATATTGCAATCAAAATTAGCTGACTTTCTAGCGCAAATTTATAAAATACTGGGGTTGCACACCAAACAATTTCTTACCTCTTCTTAAAGAAATGTATCCAGATTGGAAGATACAACCCTTAGTACTCCTAAAAGCTTTGATAGGCAGAATGTTTAAAGACGTGATAAAACTTAGTGATATTTAGGTCAATGTTGAAGGGCCCAGAATGTTCCTCAAAATGTCACTTCATGGTGACAAAGCAAAATTTTAATAAGGGGAAAAAAATCTGAATTTTCTTGTGGCCTACGCCCATCATTTCTCCCTATAATTGCTTCCCTGATGCTCAATTGTTTCCTATTATCATTCTTATTTCCAGTCCAATTTGTAACACACCCACTGATAGCAATGCTTTCTAGCCATCTGGATCAGTTCCTTTCTTTAAGAAAAAAAGAGAGAACTAATTTTTAAAAAGAAGGAATAAGAACAGCAGTGACAAGATCACAGTAAGATCATTGTAGCATTTTAGCAATAATTCATTCCCTGATGCCAGCCAAGTTTTAATAGACACATGTTTAGACAAGTGAACTAATCCAGTTTGGAATTAACCAGAAAGGGAGAAGAAAAGGAGATTGGAAGTGATGGGCATAGATTGATATCAGGTTCTTAAGCCTATATAGAAGTTGAAATGAACATTTGCCACGTTTTGAGAAATTATTATACAAGAGATGAAAAATTAATTAATTGACATGTTTATAATCAGTCAGAAAAATTTAAAATCTATCCAGAGCTGAGGTGACAATCAATTCCACCTCACCTAATCAGGTATCTCGGAATGTTTGTCTCCTGTAAAAGTATTTAGCAAAAAGCTGCCCTTCCACCAGCATACTTGGTTTTATATTGTAACATGGAACAAAACAAGCTGATTGTCATTCAATACTAAGCAGCTCGGAAGTCACCGTACTTTCCAGTTTTCCATTACTATTCGGGTAACTCACATTCCACTCACCAAGGGGAAAATCTAATCCATTTCACTCCCCTCTGAGCCATGTCCGAGAACTTTGAAATAGTTTTATGAAATTGTACCATATATAAAGAGATTTCTCTTGGGCACACTAAAAATACAATTAGAAGTTCTTGAAATATGCCTCTAAAGCAGCTGATGTTTGAAACACAGATATCCCACTACGACACTGTGCCCTTTATCCAAAAATAAAATCTACTTTAAGGAGAAGGCCATTGTATTAATGATGAGTTTCAAATAATGTTCGTATATGAAGCAGATTGGCCTAATACTGCATGAAAAACCGCACTGCCTCACCCAGAGGTATTCTCAAAACACAGCCAGATTTCTTGACAAGTTAAACTTGAGAAAGAAATAAAATTTTATTCTTGTTCTTCATTGCTGCAACTGCCTTTTTAGTATATTGACCCACGGTGAAGTGGCAATGCACACTATCTTTTCTGATTTTTGAAAACATTAAAATAATGTTTGGAACAATTATCTGCTGCAGTAGGCCTTTTCATGGGAGAAAAGTAGAATCACAGCATGTTCATGCAATTACTTTGAAGGGAACCCCTCCCCCATAAATGTATTTTATATAAATCCATTTTATTGCCTGCTTCTCACTAAGTTATGAACAATCCCCCTTTCTTCCCAACAAACAAAATAGCAGTGAGATAACTTTGTTAAAGTATTAGAATGACATTATGGAGAAAATAATTCTTTTCCTCTACTGTGGACTTCAAAAAGAAATGCCACCACTTATGTAGTCAGCATGGTACCAACTATGCACAAGTGGAAAATAGCAGGGGATCTGAGACAACCTAAGTATGCAAAACTACAAATAGTCTTTGTGGAGAAAAGCCACAAGGTTCATTTATTCTAACATCTTGTTTCCATGCTTGGCTTCAGTGAAGCCAAGCAAACTTCAAGAAGGGATGAATTCTTTTTCAATGAAAAAAACATAACTTCATGACCAAAAATCAATGTAAGACCACATTTGGTAGTGGGGAAATAATGAAAAAATGCCATTTTCTTCAGGTGTACATATTTCTTCAACTTCACTTAGTGAAAGGATTGAATCAGTAATGCTATGATACTTGATTAGCACGCACACCCAAATTACAAAACACAAACTCTACATCCTTTTTATATACGTATTTTGATTATTAATCAATTTCATTTGTAGTAGAACATGATATAAGATGTAGACCATGACAGAATTCTAGGAATAGCAAAATGCAAAATGAAAAAAAAATCAACAGAAACATTAGAGCAAGTAGTGTAGCTTCTTTTGGGGAAAAATTTTTGAGGCTTTTTAACACAAACAAATGCTGTGGGTGGAGAACATGACTCAGGCATATGGAGAACATATGCATGAGAGATTTTAGATAGGGAAAATTCACTCTATGAAGTTGAATTGTGGAGTGTTTGGGACACATAAAGGAAGTACTTCCACCTAGTGATTGTTATCAACATGCTCATCTTTAAAGAGCAAACAGATAAATCCATAGAAGGTAAATTTATCAGTACATCTTACTCGTTTAATTTCATAGCAGCTCTTATTATGAACCACAATCCTGACTGCTCACGAAATAATAGAACATAAAAACACATATCCACGGTAGAAATTCCCTGTATCCTGGGCAGTGGTGGGATATGAAATTTTTTACTACTGGTTCTGTTGGTGTGGCTTGTTGGGCATGGCAGGGGAAGGATACTGTAAAGTCTCCATTCCCTCCCACTCCTGGGGGAAGGATACTGCAAAATCCTATTCCCTGCTCACTAACCTGCATTCCAACTCCGTTCTCCTATGCAGGGCAACAAAAGAAGACCCAGCCGATCAGCTGGGGCTCAGGAGGCAGAGAATAGATGGGGGTGGGGCCAGTCAGAGGTTGTATTTGCTGGTTCTCTGAACTACTTAAAATTTCTGCTACCGGTTCTCCAGAACTGGTCAGAACCTGCTGAATACCACCTCTGATCCTGGGGCAATAGTCTCCCATAATCTTTGCAGTCTCATTCTTCCCCATTGCTTGGATACACAATTAATCATATTTTGAAGCAACATACTATCAAAACCAGGAAGGTACCATTGTCTTCATGGTCTATTTGAATGCATCCCCGAAGCATGTGGTCGGTAAATGGAGAAACAGAGTGCTCTTGGTTTATACCTAAGTCTTTTATATTCTTATATTCCCGGGCCTACATCCTATTTATTTCCACTTGCTTTTTTTTTGCTACACTGACTGATAAACTATTAAGAGTTTGTTTAGGGCAGGAATAGCAATTTAGGCCAAAAAAAAAATAGCAATAGCAATTTCACTTAGACTTATATACTGTTTCACAGTGTTTTACAGTCCTCTCTAAGCAGTTTACAGAGTCAGCATATTGCCCCCCATCCAAACAATCTGGGTCCTCATTTTACCAACCTCAGAAGGATGGAAGACTGAGTCAACCTTGAGCCTGGTGAGATTCGAACTGACAAATTGCAGGCAGCCAGCAGTCGTCAACAGAAGTAACCTACAGTACTGCATTCTAACCACTGCAGCACACAAATCCTTGTGTTATGAACCAGCCTAATCCTTATTTATGTGCTGATTAAAACACAATTTTCATTATTGCACCACCAAAAATAATGGATTGTAATCCAAGAAGCATGTTAAATATTCTGCAGGAGTTGATAAATGTGTTAGTTCATTCATGGTATGAAGCTGATGATCTGAAAGAATTCCAAACATTTCTGTTTGATAAGCTAAAATGGAAGTATAAATTTCCATTTGTTGCTAATAGAAATTGAAGCTTTTGAGTTCAGTGTAAGAAGTAGTTTGTGGCATTTCATACAAATTACTTAAGAAGAATAATGTTAATACCCAGTTATTTTGGTTGCAGCTACAAAAATTTAGTGGTCTTTAGAATCTTATCGCATTATATACTACTACTGGTATATTACTGCACAATAGCAACAGCTATTGTTTTCATTTTGTGATGTACCAGTAAAGTCCTGGTCACGCTATACAGATAGTTTTTGAATAGCTTTATCACTTTCAATGCTATCTATCAATGTGAAACACAAACTGCATATAAGATGCTCAAAAGCATTTTAACATCATAGATGAAACTCTGAAAGAAAGAAAAAAGCCCAAAGCTTTGTTAGCAATCACACCAAGCCTTTATTCTATTTTTTTTTACCACCTACAAATTCAATTCAAAATCAATCAAAAACTTCTGCTTCAGCACAGCAGAAAGAAAAAAGCAATTAAGAATAACTTAAGCGGAGCCAGAAGACATCTAAATACACCAGGTATTATTATTACATACTATATTTGAACATTCACCCCTAGAATGCGAGGATCTGAGCTCATTCATTCACTCATTTATTCATCGAAATATCAAGTGGCGAACTGGAGGCTGTCCAATGACATAGCACCATGCTGACAGCGACAACAATATTAGATTGTGGGGCTCGCTCCATACCTCCATCAATCTTTTTATTCAATCGAGTTGGAAAAGTAAGAAAAGAAATTTAAATCAGGGAAGGTAGCAAAAACTTGCTCAGACAAGAAACATATTTAAATATTTACCAGTGCAATTCTTTCGAAAGTTGGGGTTCTCTAGTGGATGACCCCACAGGCGGCATTGGAAACGATGTTGCCAAAACTCAGGGAACCAAGGATTTCTTTTGTTGGTCTCCAGTTTTATTTTCAAAAAGTAGTCATCAAATGATAAGACTTCTGGAGACTGCAGCTTAATGGTGATGCCTCCACTTGCTTCTGCTTCATAACCTTCAATGACTTCATCTCTATCTGCCCATCCATCACTAGAAGAAGAAGAAATGCTACTGTTAGATCAAAGCATATATCCAAATTGTATTTAAGCAGAAACTCTGTAATGCATCAAAAGACCATGGCAATATAAAGAAAAGCATGCTTATATTATACCACCCCTTTCTCATCATTCTCATCCTATATGAGCCACGGTAGCGCAATGGTTAGAGTGCAGTACTGCAGGCTACTTGTGCTGACTGCCGGCTGCCTGCAATTTGTCAGTTCAAATCTCACAGGCTCAAGGTTGACTCAGCCTTCCATCCTTCTGAGGTCAGTTAAAATGAGGACCCAAATTGTTGGGGGGCAATATGCTAATTCTGTAAACCGCTTAGAGAAGGCTATAAAGCATTGTAAAGCGGTGTACAAGTCTTATTGCTATTGCATTGTTTAACATTATTTAATTATTTAAATATTTCTTCCTCTGATAATATCTTATCTCTTGTTTCCCCAAATTATCAATATGGTGGCTATTATTATTATTATTATTATTATTATTATTATTATTATTATTATTATTATTATTATTATTTGTAGCAATAGCCCCCTCCTGAGTCCTGCTGTGCTACCTCACCATGGCGGGAACAGGGATGAGTGGAGAAATCTGTATGTGTATGACAAGAATACCCATTCCCAGCGGGGTCACCCAAGGTATGATCGTTAGCTGTCCAGCTAAATCAAGCAGGTACCTATACTGAGCAGTAGTGACATACAAGAAGATGCCGGAGACAGTGACAAGGCAGAGGCATCAATTCACACTATGGGGGAGAAGGCAATGGCACACCTGCATTTTTATATCAGGAAAATTGCATGGATGGTGAATATAAAATTGTTGATGAAGGGCAAGAGAAGAAGAGGATGATCAGAAGCAAGGTGGGGGAAGTCAGAGTGGTGATGAATGCATTGTTGAAAGACTTGAAGGATCAGGTTAGGAAAAAATGATCAGGAAGAAAGTCTGTCTATGGGGTTGCTAAAAGTTAACACTGACTTTTTTTTTGTAATTTAAAAAAAATACTTACAATAAATCCATCTTTCATTTAAACAGTGTGTCGACTGGGTAGATATATCTTGTGCTAACAATTGTAATTAGTACTTTTCTTACCAATATAATAATAATCACATTTTCTTTATAAGCCATTATCTGTTATGTCTATTATCTTTATAACGATCTTAACTTATTTCTCTATATATTCATCTACTCAATTTTAACTTGTTTTATTTTCCAGCCATTGATAAAATAGATCCCATACTGTGTAATATTCTGTTTCTTCTTTTTCTTTAATTGCCAGTGTTAATCTATTCATCTCGGCACATTCAAATATTTTCTTAATCACTTTTCCCTCTGCCAATATTTTATGGCTTTTCCAACTCTGAGCAAATCCAATCCTAGCTGCTGTTAATACATGAATAATTAAATATATTTCTTCTTTGCTGTAACATTCAGGTACCATCCCTAACACAAATATTTCAGGTTTCAAATCTATATGTTGCTTTATTGTTTGTAGTTAAGATACTAGCAAAGTACAGCATTTTTACTTAGCTAACACAGCTCCTGAAGATTATCTGACAATTTAACCCAGAGGATTGTAAAGTATATCCTAATATGATAGAATGGGGGAGGAATACATAACAAAATTGTTCAGGATAGCCAGCAGGGTGACTGAAAGAAAACCCACCTGCTATTCATGAACCCTGGCACTGGTTTGTCTGACAAACAAATAAATTCTTGCTCATTTGATACTGCACATGAGAACCGACTGTGCTAAATAGGGAGGGAAAACAATCACTTGGGTAAAGGCATTTCTGGCTTTCTAAATGCTGGCTCACAAAGTGTTAAGATCACAGTTTAGTGCTTTCTCTTTTTCTGCCTCCAAAGACTCATAGCTTGGAGTTTAAGTGCAAATGCAAGTCAGACTGCATTTAATTTTTAATATGCACGATCATGTCACCAGAAAAACAGACTAAAGTGTCTGCTGCCATCTAGAATAATACCAGCAGCTCTTTCTGTCATAGAAAGAGCTTAATTTGCTGGCTTCTCACAGCAGCCAAGTGGGCTACAAAATCAATGAGACTTTAGCATAAAGAATTTACATATCTGACCTGAAACCACTTCCAAAGGTTGTTCAAGATATTCAGGAAAGAAAGAAAAAAGTACACAGATTCCTTGGAAGGAGTATATATTAAGCCTGAAGCACAAAAATAATTTCATGTAGGTAAAACATCAGAAAGGTTTTAACTGCTCCTTAAAGCACAGACAAGGCTGTGTGCATTCTGTGAATCCAGCGCCTTGCATCTGCATCACCATAAAATTATAGTCAAGGACAGGGGTGGGATTCACATTTTTTAACAACCGGTTCTGTGGGCATGGCTTAGGTGGTGGGCATGGCTTGGTGACTGGGTGACTTGGTGACATGTGACTGGGTGGACATGGCTTGGTGGTCATGTTATTGGCTGGGGCATAAAACATAAAAACAAACAGAAGCTCAGCTGGATCAGACCAGGGCCCAGGGCTGGGATTCAATTTTTTTAACAACCGGTTCTGTGGGCGTGGCTTAGTTGGTGGGCATGGCTTGGTGTTCATATGACTGGCTGGGCATGGCCAACTCAACATCACTCATATCGTGGCACACATCTCCTCGCCTGGCCTCTCGTGACTGTGGGGATGCTGCAACAGTCGTAAGTGTGAAAAACGGTCATAAGTCACTTTTTTCAGTGCCATTGTAACTTTGAATGGTCACTCCACACAAGAAAAGTACTAGGAAAGGAGGAAAAAAAAACTCCAGAGAAGTTCCTGAGACAGGAAGTCTAGTCCTGCCAAGAATGTAATAAGGGTTAACGGAGAGGCAGTTTCTGTAAGCAACACCAGAATGTTTCCTTCCTGCTTTCCTTACAGGATTAGGCCAGTAATTTCTTCTAACAACCAGTTCTCTGAACTGCTTAGAATGTTAACAACCTGTTCTAGTGAATAGGTGTGAACTGGTAAAATCCCACCCCTGGTCAAGGAACTTAAGGATAGTCATTTAAATCAGAGGTCTACAAACTTGGCAATAGAGTGGTCAATGTCTGGAATACTCTACCCGACTCTGTAGTCTCTTCCCCAAACCCCAAAAACTTTAACCTTAGACTGTCTACTATTGACCTCACCCCTTTCCTAAGAGGTCTGTAGGGGGCGTGCATAAGCGCACCAACGTGCCTACCGTCCCTGTCCTATTGTTTCTCTTATTCTTTTATTTTTCTTATATGTACCCATTTCATGTATTCACAACTATGTATACACTTATACTTATTATCTTGTAAACAATTGGCAAATCAAATAAATAAATAAATAAATAAACTTTAAGACTTGTGGACTTGAACTCCCAGAATTCTGGGAGTTGAAGTCCACAAGTCTTAAATTGCCAAGTGTGGAGACCTCTGATTTAAAGGATTCTGGGACAATGAAATTTCCTAGCAGATGATAGTCCTATAGTCTTTTTTACAGATTTATAACATACACTAGAATTTCTCAAGCTTTGCAACTTTAAGCTGTGTTGACCTCAACTCCCAGAACCCTCTGCTGGCTGGGAAAATTCTGGGAGTTGAAATACACTACAGGCCTAAATTCTAATCTGTATGGATTAACCATAATATATGTCTGGATACTATTAATGATGTGTTTGCAACAATCAAGATGGCTGCCAGTTTTCTACAAGCAGTCCTAATTTGGTTGCTTAATGTTGCACAACTATGGCAACAGCTATATTCTTTTGCTGGAAGAAGTCACACAAGGAGAAGCAGTCCAAAAAGAGAATAGTTTTCTCTTCCTTGGGATTCACCTGGGATGTCACCCACTGACATTATTCCATTTAATTAAAGGCATCCCAAGGGAGTGTCCTTTTTTTTAGTTTCAAAAGCTAATCACATAACTCCATATCATGTTTGGGGTCTTAGCTTAGTGCTTGCTGTGTAAACGGATTCATTCTATGTCACAAAATACAATTGGCGGCTTAGTGTATTGTCCTAATTCAGGGGCATCAAACTCGCGGTGTCATGGAGGTGTCATGTGATGTATGGGGGCTTTCCCCCCCTCTGCTAAACTGGGTGGGCGCGTGGCCAGCATGTGACGCATCTGGTCCGCATGCCATGAGTTTGACACCTCTGTCCTAATTCTTTACTGCTGCCCATAACTTAGAGAAAGAGTCAATGTGAGAGTTGGATCACAACAGACAAAATGCTACACAGCTAGATGGCAGTATCCAGTAGGCAGTGGTTGATTTTAGAAAGTTCACTGGGTTATAAATCTTGTTACTGTTTATATGAGAGACAACATGAGAATTCTAGAACTGTAGGATGTTGAAAGCAGAAAAAAATATTCCAGAAGGAGACAATAGAGTGTTTTATTGTTGTCAACAAAACTATATGAATGAAGGACCAACAGTTTCTTACCCTTGGCTTGATTAGAAGAGAATTCTTCAAATGTTTCTTTGGATTATCAACCACTGCGGCAGATATATTACCTATGCATAGTTTTTGCACAGTCTGCTACTAGTGTATTATCAAATAAGGATTTGGTGTTTCATTTAACCTTATTCCCTATTTGTTATGTCTGCTCTTTGTTCATAGGGAAGGGATAAATATAGTTACATTTTGCCAATTGCTATTGACTTTTATGAATCCTTGTCTTAATTCCAAATCTTAAATTAATGAACTGATCCTGTAACAACCATACACATTTTTGTCTGAAAGATTGTCAGGCACAGAAATGGAAATCAGGCACAAGACAGATTAATAATGCCCAATCACATAGAATTCAAGCATAATAGTGTAGAGGATTAATAAAGAGTTACAATAAGGAGAGTCACATGTGTATAGCTCTTAGAAAAGTACTCATCTTTGTATATAGGAGCATATTTTCAAGCCCTGTTAAGCATAAGCATATCACATACATTGATAGCAGTGATGCTTTTATGTATAGTAGTGGGAAGCAGTTGCAAAGATCAGGGAGTAAATGCTGAAT